CTCTCTATGACTCAACGACCATGTATCGCTTTTTTTCTGGTAGTTTCGAGAAGCGGTGCGTTTGTCTCTATATTGCTAGACTTCATACCGCGGGCAAGGAGTAAACAAAGCACAGGGTAGGCTTTTGCGCGATAATAGTTCCTCCTGGAACTAAAACTGAATGGTTGCATGGAAGTAACAAGGAACGGTTTTTATTGAAACCCTGGACCTTGGGCGAATGGCTGCAGACCAGTATTTGAACCTTGGAAGATTACTTCCAGCATGTTTCTAATGATCCTCCAATTTAACTGGTTGCTCTCTATCCAGGGCATGGCTAGTTGAAGTACATTGGACTCCAGTACGTGCTCCCCCGGACTAAGTAATGCTTCACATACCATGATAAGTGGATCGATCTCGGAAGGTGTTCTTTGTTATCAAATAGAAAAGATAACGCGATCCATCTTGAAGTTTCAATGCTTTTCCAAGGGCTGGTAACTGATCTTGAAGTTGACAATCGATCAAACTTCTTCTGGAACACAGATGTCAAACTTCCAGCGTCGTTGATGTTAGCGGAAGTGCTATGTACCCAGCGAATAGTATTTAGTAACCGTGAGCAGATCTTGTTGTTGCTCGGTTGTAAAACCATATCTTGCTTTTCCGGTACCTCCATATGCACCCATAAATTCCTCAAAGACAAGGTCAGGTGATTCTCGGAGCTCGTTTACGACTTCTTCCTCGTCGTGGTTACCCTCTAATGGAGGCAGCCGTTTTGGTGAACTACCTTTGGTGTACCGTTCGGGATCTTACTTATACGGTAAATGACATCATTGATTTTTTTTCTTGATGAGATACGGATCTTCCCAGGACCTTTGAAGCTTCGGAGCTTTTGTCTTTTTAGGTTATAGATCCAGACTTTGACGCCTTCTTTGAAATATCCTTCTGTGGCTTGGGTATAGTATCGCTTCTTTATCCTGTCGCTAGCAATTTGAGGATGCGAGCGGACCAATTCATGCATATCGTCCATTCTTCTTCGTAACTGGATCACATAATCTTCACCAGCTACATCTTCTCCAGGTCGGCATCCAAACTCAAGGTCGTACGATAGTCTCATCTCACGCCCAAACAGGACCTTTGCTGGTATTTGGCCTGTAGAATCATTGACAGCGGATCTATAAGCCATTGCAAAGAGCGAAAGATACTGATCCCAATCTCGCTGTTGGTTTGAAACCACTTTTGACAAATTTTTGCCAATGGTTTTATTCATTACCTCTACCATTCCATCGGATTGTGGGTGCAATATTGAGGTTCTGGTTTTCTTCACGCCTAGTCTGTCACCGATTCCACAGAAGAGTTGGCTTTCAAAATTACTGCCTTGGTCACTGTGGATCTCCAAGGCCACTCCAAATCGACAGATATACTCTTTTATCAACACATCTACAACAGTTGCGGCCTCTTGATTTGGAATGGCGTAAACTTCCACCCACTTTGTAAAATAATCCATAACCATCAAAAAGTATATTTATTACCATCCTCGGTCACGGGGAATGGTCTGGCAATATCTAAGGCGATTCTCTCAAATGGGCTACCAACGTTGTATTGCTTCATGGAAGCCTTCCTTTTTCGTTTAAGATCCATTACTCATAGCACAGCTAGTAGGTACATTTCTTACACCAGTTCTTTACTATTAACAACACTTTTTCTGGTAGTTTAGAGAAGCGGTGCGTTTGTCTCTATATTGCTAGACTTCATATCGCGGGTAAAGAGTAAACCAAGCACAGGGTAGGCTTTTGCGCGACAATATATTATCATGAATTCTTCAACTGTAGATATTTGATGGCAAATGTATATTTGGACGGGACAAATGTGAGATTCCGGTGAGATATACATATAATTTCGAATTCTTCAATTTACATAATTGTAAACGTTATTTTTTAAGGAAAATAAAATAAGTTAAATATATTTTGAGCATTATTTCATTCACAAATTCGGGCCAAACTTTGCATTGAATCCTGGATTATTGAACAAATTAATTAAACACACCCAGGGGCGTTGCAACCTGGGGTGCAAGGGGTGCGGAGCACACGGGCGGCAAGTCAAGGGGGCAGCGAGCGACGATAAATAAATACTCATTTAAATATGTATTAATACTATTTTATTGGTAAAATAATAACATAAAAATATTATCAGTATTTGGAGTTAAAAATGCTTTTAACAAGTGTAACTAAAAATAAACACAACAATATTAACTTTAAAAAACGCTATTTCACGTTGCAACCAGTCAAGAAATAAAAAAACATTAACACGTTTCAACTCGTTATTAAAAAACCTAGATCACAAGCGTGTATCGCGACAATGCTCAAACATTAGACTGCACCCTATAGCATCGTAAATTGACAAGTATAACCCAAAACTGAGCTTAACTTTAAGTAAGCTTTATACAACCAGCCCTAAGCGTATTGTTTCATATACCATTTAAGGTCTCCTTGACTTGAGGGAAAAAACAAAATCCTTAACAAGTAACAAGTAGTAGAAAAAATGGAACAAGGAAGTTAATAATAAAATGTGTGCTTTTTAAAGTTTATTGATTCGGAACAAAAATACAAAGTTCGTGTACTTAGGCCTAGGTACTTTTATATTTTAATCATACCATACAAATCGGGTATCTATAGTCTGGGGCCGTTTAATCAACACCATAAACACTGCTGTATGCATCACTTCATACTAAATTTCCTTAGTTTATAATGTTTATGTAACATAAATTGTTTATAATAATATAAATAAAAGTATCTACATATACTTACCTCTTACTGTTATTATTTTGGGTTCAATAATTTCACTACTTCATTGAGGCTCTTTCCACGGCACGGCGCTTTCATCAAATACATTCAAATAAATGAGATGGATGCGAGTCCGAGCTCTAGTGACTCGTTAGAACAGGAAATTTATTGTTTTTAAACCACGTGCATATCGTAAATACGTATTTAAAAGGTAATTGTAAATAGAAAATGTAATACTTTAAATAATATAATTACAAAGTACAATTCCTCAACAAATTTTGTTGCAATTACAATTCCAAATTACTTTTAGAAAAAAATACTTAAATACAATTACATGAAAAAAAGTAATTGTAATTATTAATAACTTTTTAACTAGGAATTATCCAGATCTGGTTTTTAAATAGTTTGTTCTTTCTTGATTTTAAATGTAACACATGTACCTACTAGCATTGCTTTTTATAACAACTTTTTCATATTTAGAACAAATAGTACAACTTATTCATTGAACTTGATAAAAAAATTAAATTGCATTTTAATTTAGTAAAAAGTGTCGGGAAATCCGAATTTTTTAGATACCGCATGTACGGAATGCTGCTATCAAAAGTTGGATCTGGAAATTTATTTTCTTCATGAGCCTATATTTCGAAAACTTACTAAGTGATTTGAAAAATAAAAAAGTAGTTTTGTACACATATTTTACGTATTTACCCATACCTCGTTAAAATGCACCTTATACTGAAACACAGTGTATAAACATAGTATGCATTTCACATCCTTTTTCCCCCCTTAGACTACGCCTATGACAACAAGTCGATCGCGACACGCTTTTAAGATAATAAGTAGATCTTATATACAGAAAAGTTGGCCACCCCTGAACTAAATGATCACTACCTAACAAATTAATTTGAATATCACAAAGAAGAGGTAGGTAATTAAAGACTTATTTTATGCAATTCTTCCGGGCGGTGGGAGGTTACACGACTAATCAAAATCATTTTGTAAATTGTTTAGAGTAATAAATTATTTTTTAAATAGTTATTTAATAACCTCTAATTCATTTTTTAAATTTTGTAGATTTTCTTTAGTTGGCCGTAGAAAAAATATACTGTACAACTCGATATAGCCTTTATATTCATTCTTGGCTAAAAGGCGCAAGATCAGCATAGCTACTCTTCCTCAAGAGCCCTTCTTATTATTATAATATGTAAAAAAAGTAATAATTTAGAAAGAAGGAATAATAAAACTTAATTTTGGTCAAAGTAAAAATTAAAAAAAAAAAACTATTATTATAAAACTACAATAATAATGGGCCCGTTCACTTTCATTTTTGAATGTGAATTAATTATATATTTATAAAGATATTAAACTCTTTTGTCTGGTGGTACTTTTCCCGTTAAGATATTTTTGCTAGAAGTAAGGAAATTCCCATAAAATTCTTTCAGTGACTCATTGCGTCAGAAAACCCCTAATTCCCTTCAAGTCTCGTATCGGTTAATAGTTAAAAGGGCGCGGTTGTCGGATGTATCATTGCACCACCATTCCTCTTCTGCATTTATTAAAGAAATTTACATTATAAAAATATATTATTTTTTTAAAATAATGTGTTTATATTTTCAGATAAAGCTGGAAGCCTTACCTTTTTTAAATTTTAATAAAAACAATTAGTATTACTCAAGCTGAATATTACCAGATCGAAATTTTATTTGAGAAAATGTATCTGGTAAACGTGACAACGTTGAAAGTACTTCTAAATAGTGTTGTCTACACACACTTCTAGAAATAAATGCAACGTTGCCACGTTTACCAGATAAATATTGCAAATCAAATTTCTACTTTTTGATTATGGTCTGGTTAATTTTCAGCCTGAGTAATAATAATTGTTTTAATTAAAAAGTAAAAAATAAGCTCCCAGCTTTAAATCTGAAAATATAACATCACGATTTTTAGAAAAATAATGGAATTTTACTATTTAAATTACATATATAAATGCAGAAATGGTATATTAGGGATACTTCCGACAAACCCCGCCGTCTTTAAGCATAACCGATACGAGACGTGAACGGAATTAGGGATTTTCTGACGCAATGAGTCACTGAATGAATTTTATGGGAATTCCCTTACTTCTAGCAAACATATCTTAACGGGAAAAGTACCACCAGACAAAAGAGTTTAATATCTTTATAAATATATAATTAATTCACATTCAAAAATGAAAGTGAACGGGCCCATTGAATTAACACCTACCCAATATCGGTATCTTGCAAACGACCACTGTAGCCAACCATCGTTGTATTTAAATTTAAACAGAATAAATTAAATAAATAATAAAAAAATCGACTAGGTTTTCAAAAAGCGTAACGGTTAACAACTAAACACGATATATCACAAAATAAATAAAAAAAAAAACGACAAATCATCTTATAATGATAACGCGCGGTTAGTTTCGAATTTAAATTTTACACCAAGTCACTCCACTCCGTCTGATGTGTATGGACTACATTAGGTCGTAGATATTATACCGCACGAAACACCTGACATACCCTACGTAAATACAATGCTGCCGACTGCACTGCGAGATCGACGGAGAGCATGGAATTGAATGTAAATGAATTAGAAATTGATTATCTAATCGGCCATAGGCAACAAAGCGAGACTTGCGATGACTCGTAAAAGTGCTAATTCTATTAGGAATTGGAATCACCCAAAATCCGATAACTCTATTGTCAGTTTAACTTTGGTGCTTTAAATATTAGCGTTTTTTAAATACAATGCATTTCTTATGGAACTTATTTTATGCACTGCGAGATAAGTATAGTTTGGTTTATTTTTATTTTTTGTTGTTTAGCCTAAACAACATTTAAAAGAATCTATAATAGCAATAATCAAGTATAGCGCCGAACTTTAATGTGATTTGTTGATATATGCTTTATAAAAAATCTTACATATCTCTGTGATCGGTTATACAAAGATTTGCATATTCATATTAAAGATATTAGACAAATATATTGTTTATAAGGCATCACTATTCATTTAAAGTCAAATTAAAAAAAAATTGATTTGTTCAGCACATGACTTTGATGTCCAGTTATTACAGGCTTTTTGCGGTTATTTTGTAGAACATACTATATCGGAGTAAAAAACAGAACAAAAATAAACAAAAATAAACAAAAACAAACAAAAACAAACAAAAACAAACAAAAACAAACAAAAACAAACAAAAACAAACAAAAACAAACAAAAACAAACAAAAACAAACCAAAACAAACAAAAACAAACAAAAACAAACAAAAACAAACAAAAACAAACAAAAACAAACAGAAACAAACAAAAACAAACAAAAACAAACAAAAACAAACAAAAACAAACAAAAACAAACAAAAACAAACAAAAACAAACAAAAACAAACAAAAACAAACAAAAACAAACAAAAACAAACAAAAACAAACAAAAACAAACAAAAACAAACAAAAACAAACAAAAACAAACAAAAACAAACAAAAACAAACAAAAACAAACAAAAACAAACAAAAACAAACAAAAACAAACAAAAACAAACAAAAACAAACAAAAACACAAAAAATAAACAAATGTAATGTTTTAAGTCGGAACTGAAAACTGTTTTCTTAATTAATTTTATCATGGTCATAACTAAGACAGTTTTATTTCAAAGTATAAAAAAAAACAAAGAACAAAAAAAAACAGAAAAAACCAAAAACAAACGAAATAAACCCAAAAACAAACTAACAAAAACATAAACAAATGTAATGTTTTAAGTCAGGACACGTAACTGAAAACTGTTTTCTTAATTAATTTTGTTATGGTCATAACTTGACAGTTTTATTTCAAAATATAAAAAAAACAGAAAAACAAAAAGCCAAAAAGAAAAAAAAACAAAAACAAACGAAAAACAAACTAACAAAAAAACAAACTAGAAAACAAAAAATACAAAAAAAAACAAAAAAAATAAACAAATGTAATATTTTAAGTCAAAACACGTACAGAAAATTGTTATCTTAATTAATTTTATTATCGTCATAACTTGAGACAGTTTTATTTCAAAATATAAAAAAACAAAAACAAACGAAAAACAAACAAAAACAAAAAAAAAACAAAAAAACAAACAAAAAACAAAAAAAAACTGAAAAATAAATAAATGTAATGTTTTAAGTCAGGACACGTAACTCAAAATTGTTTTCTTAATTACAAACGAAAAAACAAACAAAAACAAACAAGAAAACAACAAAAAAACAAAATAAACAAATGTAATGTTTTAAGTCAGAACACGTACAGAAAACTGTTTTTTTTTATTAATTTTATTATCGTCATAACTTGAGACAGTTTAATTTAAAATATAAAAAAAAAACGGAAAAAAACAGAAAAAACAATCAGATCCCAACTTGGTTTTACATAAAAAAAAAAAAAAAATACAATCATCAAAGTACACTGTAAGCAAAAATCTCTTCCAACTCGTCAAACAGGGTGAAAGTAACCCTTAAACTTTAAAATAAATAATTACCCTATGAAGAAGATAAAATTTCAAATTAAATTCAAATTTAAAAATCATAAATACACTCACCAAAGTACACTGTAAGCAAAAATCTCTTCCAACCCGTCAAACAGGGTGAAATTAACCCTTAAACTTTAAAATAAATAGTAACCCAATGAAAACGATCAGAACCTAACTTGGTTTTACATTAAAAAAAGCATAAATACACTCATCAAAGTACACTGTAAGTGAAAATCCCTTCCGACCCGTGAAACAGGGTGAAATTAACCCTTAAACTTCAAAATAAATAATAACCCAATGAAGACGATCAGACCCCAACTTGGTTTTACATTAAAAAAAGCAAAGTTCCCTGTAAGCGAAAATCCCTTCCGACCCGTCAAACGGTGAAATTAACCCTTAAACTTTAAAATAAATAATTCCCCTATGAAGACGATTAAATCCCAACTTGATTTTAAATTTAAAAAAACATAAATACAGTCACCAAAGTACACTGCAAGCAAAATCCCCTTCCGACCCGTCAAACAGGGTGAAATTAACCCTTAAATTTCAAAATAAATAATAACCCAATGAAGACGATCAGAGCCCAACTTGGTTTTACATTAAAAAAAGCATAAATACACTCACCAAAGTACACTCTAAGCGAAAATCCCTTCCGACCCGATAAACAGGGTGCATTCACCCTGTTTGACGGGTCATAAGGGATTTTAGTTTGCAGGGTACTTTGTTGAAGATATTTATGATTTTTTCATGTAAAACCAAGTTGGAATCTAATCGTTTTCATTAGGTAATTATTTATTTTGAAGTTAAAGGGGTAACTTCGCCCTGTTTGACTGGTCTGAATGTATTTATGGTTATTTGAATGCAAGAGAGCAAGTATGAATTTGATCGGCCTCAAAGGATAATTATTTTTTGGGATTTTTAAGGGTTAATTTCGCCCTCTTCGACGGATGCAACGGGATTTTCGCTTACAGTTTTTTAATCTAAATTTATTTGTTTGATTGTAACAGGCAGTTGGTCCGAAGGGATTTTCACTTCATGGGGTAAATATTTATTTTTAATTATAAGTGACACCCTGTTTGACGGATCCGAAGGGATTTTTTAACTGTTTATGATAATAAATTTTTTATTTTATGAATGTAAGATTAAGTTGAAATTTGATACCCGTCCTAGGTTAAGTATTTATTTTTAATTTTAAAAGTTAATTTCACCTTGTTAGACGAGTCCGAAAAGATTTTTGCTTTCATCCTTTATTGTTTAGTTCATTTATTATTTTTTAATGTAAAAGTAAGTAGAAAATGTATCGCATTCATATGGTAATTATTTTTTAAATTTTTAATGGTTTATTTTACTCTGTCTGACAAGTCCGAAGGGATTTTTGCTTAAACTGTATGGTAAGTCTATTATTTTTCATCACAGGATAATTATTTTATGGGGTAATTTTACCCTGTTCAACGTACCCGAAGAAATGTTTATCTATAGCGTATTTATGATTTTTTTAAATGTAAAATTAAATTGGGATCTGATTTCCTTCATGGTATGAATATTTTTTATCAATTTTAAGGGTTATTTTGAACCGTATATTAATTATTTGTCGATATTAATATGTAAAATACATATTGACAAGATTATTAAAATAATTGTATACCGGACGCCATTGATTTCCCGATCGGGTCTTTTCGGTTTTTTTTACTGCTAAAAGTTACTACACACCGGTTGTTCATAGGAACTTTTTTCATAAAACGACGTAAAAAAAAACTCAAAACAATTAAATATTTTTATTTCTAAAGAAATTGCTAAATGAAAATTTCTTAATAATTGTAATTAAATACTTTTAAATAGCAGAGATTTGGAGTGCTCACTGAAAAACACTTATTTTTTACTTGGATTTTCATAACTATTTTAGCCAGTCATCGTAGCGTCTGTTTATTTTAAAAATTATATATATTTTAACAAAGTTAATAAATAAAATAAGCAGCAATTTTACGGTTTTCCCACCTCGTATATATCTTATAATTGCTTCGTATAGGTACCTATATTAAAACGTGCACCCTGTATCATTTGCTACTGTACTGTATCCACTCAAAAAATTATTTAGATATTGATAAAAACGTACAATGTACTTTATGTATCTTATAATATACATCTGCGTCAATGTCTAATCTCATATTTGCCTATCATTTTCAACGAGTTGAAGGTTAATCTCGTCCAGGTTTTAAATATTGCATAGTCATTCCAATAACATTTATTTCAACTTCAACTTTGGATGAAGGACGATGATTTGTAGAAAATAAAAAACGTATACACATGATGTTACTCATAACAAATATACCGGTTGCATATTAAACTGCCGTTAAATTCTAATTAAAGCGTTGCTAAAATCGCCATTCATTAGTATGATAATTTGAAAAGATTAGACAGTGTGCGACATATACCGGGTTAGGACGATAAATATGTGAATTATTGTTATTCAACTTTCACTTTTATATTCTGGACGCTAGCAATACGAATTTCGACAAAAAATAATGTCCTTTAAACCAAACTTTTCTCAAACTGCGCCCCTCGAACAAGGTTTTTATATCTTGAAAAAGATCAAGATCATTTGACGTCAAAAACTGAGGCAATTTAAAAAAAATCTCTGCCTGCATCCTCGTTCAATTTTCTTCTCCATTGTTTAAGTTTTTTTTTAAGTTAATTATTTTTCAGTAAAGTTCAAAAGGTTCATGTCTTTCCTTGCAAAGATTAAGGGATTTCAGCTTTTCAAACATAATAATAATAATAAATCGTCTTTTTTTTTTTTTTTTTTTTTTTGAAAATATGTTATGGATGATGTATTTGCTTCATTAAGTATTCATTATAAATTTTAACAGATTGGTAGGTAAACGATTTCTAAAATATGGCTGAATTGTGATGAGGAATGTGAAAAATATTTCTACAGCGGACATTTAGAGGGTGCAGTGCTGATCTCACAACTAACTTATCCAAAAGAGTTTGTGGTTTATTTCCTTTTATGACATTATACAAAAAATTAAAAAAATTATATTGACGTTTATTTTTCATTTTTAACCATTTAAGTTCATAAAT